CCATTTCCCCTCCTGCCCTTATGCTAACAGGTATAATAGTCCAAAGAAAAGCTTGCACATATGTATAACATCTTGGCAATTTAGCCATGTACCAAAGCAATAACAACTTTCTGTGAATTCTCAAAAGGAGTTAATTTTTCAAGTTTTTAATGCAAAAGTTAATGTAGCAAAACTCCCAAATCAGATACTTTGCAAATCAGATAGTTTGCAAAACTAACTCTGTTTCCTGGTCTCACAGAGGAAATTAGCAGTGCACAGATTTCACTATGCACCTCAGATCCACTGCCCCGAGACAGGGAGCATCAGCAGTAACCCCCATTCTCCATCAGTTCCCCTCAAGTACCTCACACAGACCAGGTGTCAAATGCAGTGCTCCAAACAGACACCTTCAGATATCCAGTGTTTAGAGCCCAGAAGCCTCTTCTAAGGCTTCTATTCTAAGATACCTCCCAACTATTGTTTCAAAAGACAGATAAAGCCTCTCAACTTCTTTTTAATGAGAGAACAAAATTCATACATGAAAGTGAGCATCCTGCCATACCTGAGTAAGGCCTTAAGATCTGACAGTCCTGTGTTCAATGTTGTACTTTAAAACTTCCCTGGACTTGTGGAGAACACCCCACCCACTACCTAAGGCTGGATGAGAGCACCTTTCTCCGCTTTGATCTGTGTCTCTGTGCACTTTTATACACCGAGCAGGAGATAAACAAAACTGGAGACCAATCCCATCAGTTGCCTACCAGTTTGGATGTCTGACTGGAAGGGGCAGGCAGCACAGAAGACAGTGCTCAGCTTTTGATTTCTGGTCCCCAGAATTATTTCTTATCTTGTGGTCATCATTTCAACAAAGTGCTGCTTCCAGTTTTGTACTAGAGAGTTCTGGTAATGCTCTAATAATGTTACTTCACTAACATTTTACACTGATCAGCACTATCACTGAAGGGAGAATTCCCACCTGTGCCATTACTTCACCCCTTTCCACACATCCCACAGCCCACACTGATACAGACAGAAGGAGAAAAGCCCAAAAACTTCTACTTTTTGAATCTTTGGGGGGGTAGGGTGGGTGGGTAATGAACACACACCAAAAAAAAACCCAAAACAAAACCAACCCAGAAAAAACAATGTCTCCCACCTCCCCACTAGTGCTAATGCAAAGGAGGAAGGACTAAATTGCCTGAGGAAAGCCACTGCAGGATTGCCACTCCTCTTTGACAGCCTGCTGAGCATGAGCAAGCCTCAGAAAATAGATTGTATTTCCACAGCAATCCAAATTGCCCGAAATCTGCCCTGCTGTGATCCCATTCTTCCTTGCAGCAGCTGTAGCACTTGTGCTTTTTTAGGGTGGAGCAGACAAAGAAGGAAATAAGAGGGATGGATGCTGTGCTAGTTGTCTACCAGTTGAGCCTCCTGAACTATCTCACTCAGACAGTTTACCCACCAGCGTTGGTGTCACGTGGGAGCAGGAAGTTGAGTGAGGGTACAGCAGTGCCAGGGTGTACCTGATCAAACAGCTCCACTGGAGGTGCAGTTGGAGGCAGCTGCCAGCACTCCAGACCTGACTCAGGTTGGCAAGGAGAAAGGCAGAAAGGCATCCTGTCTTTCAGGCCAGGGTAGAATTAGGCCCACACCTAGAGAAACACTTTGCCTGAAAGAGCTATGTGCTTCATGCTAGTAATATCTCTTGGATTAGGGGGTATCCATGAGATTCATTTGGCAAATCCAGCTGTATGCTTAAGAAGTCTAAATTATGCAACAAAGCCCTCACTGTTCTTAATTCTTTGATTTCTAAACCCAAAACAAAACAAACAAATAAACAAACAAAAATACATGCTATATATATGGTTCAGTACCAAACCAACTCAAGACTAAAAAGCTTAAAGGCTTTCCTGGCTCTTCTAATTTTACTGGGAATAGTTATTCCAGAATAGCATTTTTCAACACCAACTACTCACCCATAAATAAATTACTAATCTTGTTTGGGAATAAAATAATCCACAGACTCTTACACTGAAATATTCCAGGATAGCTATTCCAGACTTTTTCTTGTAATCAGTTGCTGAAAATAGTAAAGCCCTGAAGGCTTAAGAGAAGACAGAAAATTTAATAATAATAATAAAAAAACTCATTCCAAAATTTTGCAATATAAAGTAAAGTAGTAGTTAAGGACTAACCTTTTTTCCAGGTTTTAAACTTTTTTTCCTTGTTTTAAGATTTTCAGTATGAGAGGTGCTTTTTGTCAGGGGAATATTTTTAGGAGACCGGCCCTTCTTGGGAACTGCAGACTGTCCAGGGGCTTTGCCCCGGCCTGGTTTCCTGCCTCGCTGTGCTGGTACTGGAGCAGATTTCTGTGGAGACTGCATTGAACGCCGGGTCACTTTGGAAGGGGAAGATTGGATTTTTGCACTGCTCTTTGTAATGGAAACTGAGGAAAAACAAAAACAAAAGGGAAGGGGGGGGAAAACCTCAAAATGAACAATGGAAAGCAACTTTTCTAACAAAGGCTTAAAAAAAGAAAAGTGTACTGCACAATTTACATTGTAAAATAAATATACTTTGTATTTTGAACTTAAGTGGTTGTCATGAAACTATGTAACTCTATTGAAGCCAAAGAGAGAACTCTTTGTACCCAGTTTTTAGAGGAAACTTTCCTAAGAGAAAAACATTCAAATAAAAACTGGAAAAAAAAATAATTAATCCACTCACCTTATAAATGCTTCCAATAATTTAATTATGATATTTATAAAGTGCCATTCATCAAGAAGGTCACAAATTATACAGCCTGTAATATATCCCTTTTCCTCTAAGAGCAGTTTCCACAATTATAAGACATGTCAACAACTTCTAGGGCGCTACAAAACAGTTCTGTGCAGCAAAGAAAATCAGCCCACTGACAAAAAAAACCCCTGATGATAGGTAAAAAGTCATTAATGAGCGTTTCTCTGAGATGCCATTTTGGAAAGTTAAGTTCATATAACCATACCCAGATATTTCTGCCTTGAACCATTTGGAAGAAGGACTTCCAAAAATCAAACAAAGTATAATTTTTATTCATTCTTTACATTGAAGTAGTTTTCTCCCATGAAACAGGTAAATCTCCCATTCCAATACAAACTCAATAGGAGATCCCAATAGACACCCACTTGGATATGATCCAATATGTATATGATATGACTGCATTGTAATCTGGTGTGAAGCTGCAGGATGTGATCAGATTTCACTAAATTGAACTTCCTAGTTAAGAGTCTTTTCCATCCAATTCACTCTTCTCTGAAATAACAACGATGATTTTATTTTATCTATTTCCTACCCAACAAACACATTAAAACACCAAAAGGATGCCAAACAGAATCTACATATAAGGACATATCCTCACCGAAAAGACATACCGCACCATGCTATAGCGGCACCTGTGGCCAAAAAACCCAAATACTAAGTCTAGAAGGCCAACAAATATTCCATTTTGTTGACCTGCTTGCTGGCAGGCAGACACATGTTACAAGTTGTGGAACAGGTAAGTAGAAGATGAAAATAGGAAATTTTGTGACATCAAACCACCCTTGTTGAGAAGTATGACAAAGAAACATGCAACATATTTAAGTCTTTACACTTAAAATTAGACAGCTTTCTAGTATCAACCTGCTCCTACCACAGTCTTTTGCATCTTGCTGACAGGGAAACTCAAGTGATTTACTATGACCTTAAATACTATGAACCTAATGTGATGTAACTTAGAAGTATTGCAAATTAGGTTCAAGCAAGCTTTAACTACATCAGTCACCGTGCCTGACTCAAAGCACTAATGCAGACTGGAAGCGGAGCACAGGGGACTGCTACTTCTGGATTTGTGATTTTGGAATATTTCTTCTCTGAAAAGATCAGTATGTTGAGGCTTTCCGGTAACAAAGCAAAACAAACAATAAAACACAAAGATGAATTTGAAATGAGATCTTAATAAAATAACATATATAAAGACTTAGAAACAGTTTTAATGTCTAGCTCTCTGAGTGATACTCAACAGTCCAGTACCTAGCCTTACAACTGTTACTTTAACTCTGCATTTTTACTCAGGAGTTAACAATTATTAAGTATTTGCAATAGAAAATGTCACAGCAAGATGAAATACACACTGTGCCCAGATGTCTTATAAAATACAAGTACTCCTGACATACATTTCTAGAGCTGTAGGAACATTTACATACATTGCTATTTGCCTGATTCGGTTACTAATCTAATATTCCTAAATGGCAGTTCAGAAGAAATCTCCTCATTATAGCTGGTTGCAGTCCTAATACATCAAATACAGACGTGATATTCCCTAGGTATCTGAGAAGGACCACCTTCTGAATGTGCAAAGCGATCACTTTCTTTTTATTTATGTATGCCAAAATGTATTTTCATATGCAATGACAGCTTAAAATAAGATGAACAGAATTTTAACCAAATGCTGGCACAGCATTACTCTTTATGTCCCTGAATTGCTGAAAGGCAACTCATGTTAAGCTGTACTTCTGGAAAGCAAAACAATATCAACTGTATGCTGTACAATACAGTAATACATATTATGCCCTGTATTATGCTCACAACAATATAAAATGCAGCTATTTACTTTTGCCACACAACTATGCATTTAACAAAACAATCATGACCTTGTAAAGAAATGTTTAACAAATTCTTTGTGCCTCTGCCTGGGCTGAAATCTAGCAAATGCATTCCTCTTCTCGCATAGTAAAGACATAGATAATGTTAAATACGCGGTTACTTTCAAGTAAACGGGTTCTAGGACCACAGGTATGAGTTTTGGGACACTGGACAATCCCTATTCCCTTCCAGAGGGACATTTACTGGACAAAGAGTAACAATGCAATCAGCTGCAACCACTTCAGGTTGCACTACTGAACGACACACATAAAGTACTACCTTATCTCAGCATCTTCCTACCTGTGTGCGCCAGAGGAGCAAATATTAGCAGCATTAACCATTAAGGGGGGGGATCAGGTCCCATTGGTATTTTTCCTTCTGCCTAGGGCCGAAGCTGCTTTTTTCCATAGGCAGGACTGCAACAAAGCCCATGCTGCCTGGGCAGCCTCCTGGAGACAGCAGCAAATGAGGAGGCTGCTATTTGCATTTGTTGATTTAAGAGAGGATGAGGGGAGCGCAAGGGAGTGGGAGACTGCTAAAGTAATTCCCATATTGTCTGCAGGCTGTATTGACAGTGATCATCAGTCACCTGCTCATACTTCCTTCACCCGGCCTTTAGAGGGAGACCAAAGGTTACACCGGGTCACAGGATCTGGAGGGAAATGAAAAGACATGCAAAATCAAGCTGCCAACCCACTGCATCTGTAGACAGAGTTATCCCCACATGGCCACATGTTCCAAAAACTAAGACGTTTTAATAGTCTCATGAGAACTTGTTAAAATATAACGATGAAGAGAATAGAGAGGAAAAATGCCAAGCTCTGCTTGCAATTACTGCAGTATTTAGTTGGGATATTTACAACCAAAAAAGCACATTTGCCTTTTCAGGATGCTGCTTTGCATCACAAAGGCCTTCTCATATGCACAAACAAAATCAAGCGTTTGTGTCACGTTGCTCTTCTACACAAGTATCCACTGCTCCAGTTTCGGGAGTGGGATGCACGGCTTTCCTTTCCAAGTATCTTATTTACACCCAAAACCTGTACTGGCACTCTCAAGACCCAAATAGCAGAGACCACACTGTACAGACATACTTCACCACAGTAATGTTAGCAACTAAAACAGCATTCTCAGAGTTCACAGAGCTATAGTTATACTGCCGTGTTTGTGTGGGCTATGAGTGACTACCTTCATGCAACTCACAAACAGCTTTCATTCTTCCAATCGCTTCTCTTTCAAAACATTCTCCTTTTTTTCCTCCCAAATGGTTCTGTGAGAATGCCAACACCTACAAACTTCATATCCAGCGTACGTAAGAGAAACCCCAAATCCTGTATCCTGGAACTCACAGCCTAAAGATGCGTGGCCACAACTCAGCCCTAGTTAGAACAAGCAAATCCACTGCAGTCAACCAAGCTCATTTGCATGAGAAGGACATGAAAGATCAGACTTCACATGAGGGACAAATTCTACTTTGCAGGAGTAGAAAAACTGCCCAGACACAGGCAGGACTGCAAAATTTGACCCCAGAATATTATCTCCAAGATCTCTTGCCAGAATAAGTTAGATATTTAAGGCAACTGTGAAATCTGAAGCTACTGAAACCTCCAGTACTTGGGAAGGGAATGGAACAGATGACAGCTCAGAAGCCTGAATTCTCATGCAATTCTAATTACTAAAATTCCCTCAAATAATCCACAGTGACAGTTTCACTCCATGTTTTTATGGAAAGCAGGGGAAAAAAGGTTCAGATTTGTAATATTTAAACATTATAAATCTACTGTTCAGTTAGTGTCACAGAACAGCAATTACACGACAAGACTTAAAAAAGCTGATGTGAAGTTACATGAAGCAATACAGGGGCTCTCTTTGCTGGACATTCTGTAAACACAGCATTGCTACCTGAGGTGAAGGTGTCATTTAGGACAGTAAAAACAGTAGTTCACTGTTTAAACTAGGTTTTCTTTCAGGACAGAAATTATTCTATTTGTACTGCAGTATTGTTCCTATGCCCTCACTGATACGCAAATCCAATGTTCTTCTGAGAATATAAAAAACTAGGTCCTTCTCCCATCTACAGCTGAAGAAAATGAGGCAAAGAGATTAAGCAACTTACCCTAAATCCATGTGAGCATTCCACAGCAAAAGTAATGGAAACATATCTCCCGAGTTCTAGCCTGGAATTTTAACTATAAAATTAACCTTCTTTAATACAGTAAGTTATTATCATGATAGTTTTGACAACTGGCAAAGGAAGTGGAAAAGATTAGCAATTTTTCAAAACAGCTTACTGCCAAGGATTATAAAAATTTATGTCCTTATGTCTCAATTCAACAAGAGAGCCATACAAAAGCACAAGTATCTGTAATACATTCCACCTCTTTCTATCTCTGTTTGGATTAGTTCTGATTAAGAGGTAGCTGCAAAATACTAATTGATATGTTGCTATGATACAAAATCAGTTAAAAGTAATTATTTTGCCATCTAAAAAGCAACACTGCACTTGGAAACTCCAACATGCACCTTGGCAAGACACTACAACTTGCAATTTTCTTCTTTTTAGATTTTAGTTTCTATTACCAGTATCATAAAAGAAAGAAAAAAATCTCTTGCTATTTTCTGCACGAATTTTAGCCTTTCACAGCCCTGAAAGGTGAAATGGAGGGCTCCAAGCAACGCAAGACAAAAACTGCAGGAAAGGAAAAGCATTTCTCTCCTCCTGACTTTCCCAGCAGCATTGTAGCCCCTTCAGTCCCTCACCCCTAGCCCTAGCCTCCCACATTT